ATCTCTTTGCAAACAGCTCGGGAAACGATCGCTGCATACGCGAGCGCAGCGCGGTTCGTCTAACCCTCTTTCCGATACGAATTACCGTGCTCCACTCGTTTGCGTTCGATCGAGCGAACAGGAGGACGGAGGGAGAGACGTCGACGACGACGACGACGACGACGACGACGACGACGGCCAAGTTAATTCCGTTTCCCCGAGCTACGTCGGAGACGTCTCATAAAAGTCGCCTCGGAAGCGACGGAACAACAGGAACAACGTGCCCCGCTCGACGGATTCCGCGACGTGTGTGCGAGAATCTGCTCCTCCTCTCTCTCTCTCTCTTCCTCTCCCTCTCTCCCTCCGACTCTCCGTTTCCTCTTCACCTCCGCGACTCTTCCTTTTGCACGGTTTGCTAGATCTATTCAATTTACTTTTTCTAGCGGCAGGAAGGAATCTGCTCCGACAAAGGGAAAGAACGTACGGGCTACAACCGAGAGGGTAAGGGCGGTCGCAGCTGGGGCACGGGCGGCCTAGGGTAGGGGCGGGGAATTGCAGGCAAAAGGGGAGGGAATTTCGCTCGGTAAAGCACACGTGGAGAACCGTCGACGGTGCTTAAAGCTCAGAGGGTCCTTTGAAACTTTACAATTTCATTCTTCCAGACGTGGACGAGCGCGAAGATTCCGTGCCGCGCTCGTCTGGATTTTTCTCTCGCTTCCTTACAAGTCCGCCGTTTTTTCCCAACCATCGCAAAGGACACGGTCGCGGTCACGTAACCCGAATCGTTTTACCCCGTGTCGGCCGTATCGCGAGAAACGTCCACTTAAATTCGCTTAGGCGATCCCGTTGCGTGTCACCGGCGCGTCACCGGAATATCAAGGGGTTGAATTTCTCACCTCGAACGCGGGTCAAAACCTTCCGATGCCCGGCTGTTGTGTGACACGTCCACGAGAATGCCCCCCCGGTGCCGATGGCTTTCGTCGCGAAAACGGTCGCGATCGGTCGTAGGAACGGTCGCGGGAACGGTGGCCGCGAGAGCCAATAGAGCGGAGCAGCCTCGCGTTTGAAACACGATATTTGGAAACGCAAATGGACCGACTCTGGGTTCAACGGTGTGAACCGTACGCGTGCGCGGCCAGCCGAGCCACAGACTCTCGCGAACAGATATATTAGGGCAATTATATCCGACTTAATTACGCACCGCCTCCGGTCCGCACCTATTTTCGAACACTGTCGATGCAAATTAGCGCCGGCTGAAAGCGCGTCCTCTCTTCTTCCGGCAGCTCGCTCGAAAGCCTGTCCATCGCCGGCCGCTTCCTCTCGAAATAGCGGACGTTTTTCTTCCCCGCGACGTCGATTTTTCTCCTTCCTCTATCCGCCGCGCGCGCGCAAAAATACGAATCGCCCGCGCTTTTTACCCGCCCGGCGGAACCGCGCGTTTTTCCACGCACGAGCGCGACGTCCCGGTCGTAAATCGGCGCGGCAATTTCGAACACGCCTCGCGGCGCGCCTCGAGAGCAGCGCGGCTGAAAGGAAAATCATTTTTCTCGTTTTATTCACGAACGACGAGGAACATTCGATGCACCTAACGGTACATGCTCGCGGTGTAATTGGACCAACGTTTCTCCACGAGAACCGGTCGCATAATTCGGTCTGCCGAATTTTTTCCCCCGGGTGTCTCGCGGTTCCGACAGCGCCGCGGCCGGAGCAGATTAAAAGTTTCGTCATTTGGCCGGCTTCCGCGCGAGCCCGCTCGAATTTTCTCCGCAATTTTCGGGCCACGCTCGAAGAACGAACAACTCGTATTTCATACTTGAAATACGAGCGGCGCGGAGGGGGCAGAAGAATCCAGGGCGTTAGCCTTAATTAGCGCGCGCATGTGCAGCCAGTTAGCGCGGATAACTGTAATACATTTTTAAACTAATTCCCTCGCCGCTGAACGCGCGTACCGCCGAAGAAAGAGAAACACCGGCTGCGAGAGCGATTATTCCGCGAGTTTCGTCCTGTTAAACGTACAGGGAATTGCGTGGAAATTGTCGCGAGCGGCGCGGACGGAAAATAGAGGGGAAAAAGGCGGATGGAAAGCACTCGGGGGCCGGTTCGAAAAAGCTCTGTATCCATGTCAAAAATTCCGGCGCGAGACCGTAAACACGTCGAAAAGTGACGTATCAACGCGGAGCATCGCGGTCGACGCGGAACAGCTGGCCGGGGCTATCTAAATGCACCCGCGACACCGATTGATGTTACATCGACAGAGATAATGGTGTCCAAACAATGTAGCTCGCGTCAAAAGCAGCCGACGTTAAAACTGTTTGTTGCAGAGAACGCTTTGCCGCCTGCAGCGCGCCTCTAATGAGACAATTTCATTCGTCCGCGAAATTCGCGCGCCACTCGCGCTCGGACTACGTCACTGGATCCAGACTAGTCTTCCGTGTAAATATTACCGGATAATTTCCGCGTGCTCGATACCCGGCAAAAACATCGCGAAAATCGCTCTCGATACCCCGGCGAGTCTCCGCAAAGCGTCGAAAAATGAAATATCCGTGGCCGCCATTTTGCAACCGCGCCGCGCGTCGCGTCACCGTTCGTTCGGTTTTTCCATCGAATTTCAGTATGAACGCTCGTCGATCTCGTTACCCGCGACCATATTTACGGGTACTTATTGGTACTTGAACCACGATATTCCGCGTGGGAGAAACTCAACGACGCGTGCGGAAAAAGAGCGCGAGTATTCGCGGAGGAGCTGCGAGTTACATTTCAAAGGCAAGGGAGACGGAGGAATTTGTCAGCGTTTCCACGGATCGACGCGATGGTAAATGGACGTCGTCCATCTTGGATCTTTCCGGTGGCGCAGCAAACGCGAGAGTCGCTTTGGCATTCTGGCCGCGCGCGGTCGAACGAGGGTAGACTTTGCATAGCTCGATATCGCGCGGCGATATACAAGCGGAATACAAACCGGAATCGAGAACCGTTCGGACCCGTCATTTTCCCCGATAAGCTTTTCTATTTCTCCCTGCAAGTTTCCGCGGCGATCACGGTGAACCGTTTTCCCTCGAATCTCGACGCGCGAAATCGCGTCACGGGCCGAAAGAGGAGAAACGAATGGCAACGCGTGGGCCGCGCGTTGTCGAGCCGAATCGATATAGCCGCGATTCAAACTCGATTCTCGCCTCATCTAAACTTTCCTCCTCTTCCTCTCCCGCCGGTGTTAACCCTGTTTCGCGCGACCAACTTTCGCATTCCGCGAGATTGCCGCGCGATGTTTCCCGCGCGGCGTGAAAGAAACTCGCGGCACCGGAAGCGGGAGGAAAGTTTGGCGATTCGACGTTGCCTTGGAAAAACAGCGGAACACGACGGAGGCGGAGTTCGATTAACTCGAGATCCCAGCCGCGTGAGTTTCCGCCAATTCCCGGCCGGTAGGAAAACTACCCCTATGCGTCTTCTGTAACTAAAAGCCGAGATTAAACGAAATCCGAAGAAAGCGGAGTATCTTCTCGCGTTCTCGTGAAATAATACGCCCGGCGATTCCAATTTGAATCGGATCTCCGTCGGAACCGAAGGGATTCGAAATGGCGCGGGGTGGGAACGCCGGCGGAAGATTAAAATTTCAACGCGACCCTCCCCGTTCGTGCCTCGCCCTGTTTGCCTCGACTCTCGATAGGACAAAAAATAGAGAAAGCAAGTGCTCTCGCGGCGAAATGTCTTCAGCTCGTTAGGGACTTAACGAGAAGAAATGCGCCGGATGAGCGGAAAACGGCTGCCGGGAGTGGGTGAAAAAGCGAGAGAGGATAAAGCCGGCCGTACAAGCTGCTCGAGAGCTTTTCGAAGTTGAAGCCGCGCTCGGTAATACCGGCCCGACCGAATGGTCGAGTACTAATCCGAGTGTAATAATGGTGTACGCGTTCGCAAGCTCATCGCACGAACGTGAACGCGCTCTCCGACGAGCCACGCCGAGCCAAGCCATGTTCGCGAGCTCCGGCCGCTATTACTCCGCTCTGGCCGGCTCGTCTGCTCGCTTTCAAACTCGTTATACGATTTTTAATACATTGCACACGGCCGCTCCGTGCGCTCCGTGCGCTCCGTGCGTCGTTTCCGTGCCTCTCGCGCGTATCATGCTCAAATTGCCCCTATTCCGATTCACTCCCGCGTCCCGTGCTCGTCACGGTATCAAAGCCGCGCGCGACCGCTTCAAACTCCGGGAGGAATGGCTACCTTTGACACGTTAATTTCGCGACTTCTCCGCGATCACGCGAGGCCGGAAAAGCGCGGAAAATTCTGCTACCCCGTTGCAACGTTCCTCGATGTCCGATACGCGATGAGGAAGGATTAATCGCGGCTCAGGGGTAGCAAACGAGATAGCGAAGAGTAATTACTCGTCCGCGAAGAATCAATCGCCACGCGTAAGAGGTTTATCGTCGCGAGACGCTGGTTCGATCAACGGCTCTGGCTCGCGCTAAAGGGGTGGAAGCGCAAGGGCGGGGACGCGGAACGTGCGACGAAGAGACAAGGAACGGGAAGAGCGAAGGTTAGAGCAGGGAATGTTTTAAGCTCTTCATAAATCCAGCCGTCTCTCGCGTCCTCGGGTTTCCTCCTTAGCAGCCGTTCCATTTGCATACCAAAGACTAATCCGCGTGTGGGCCGATTGAAATGAAAATGCACGGTCTCGCCTCGAATCCACCATCCGGCTCTCCGCGAGCGCGAATATCATTTCCTCGCACGGCGAACAAAGCTTTAACGGCGAGCGATTTATTCACGCGAGGGGGAACACGCGCGCGCGTGAACCAGGCCAAAGCTCGTGCCGCGTGAAAGTCGATGGTGAAAAGAACGGGGGTGCAGATGGAGAGAGAGAGAGAGAGAGAGAAAGAGAGAGAGAGGCACTAGTGGTAGCAGATAGTACCCTACACCCCCGTATCGACGAGGGCGAACAAGCGGGACTTTTGGGGTGGCCAGAGGACGACACGCAATTTATGCGCATTCCGTTTCGAACGCTGACGAATATTTTTTCTCTGATTTTGTTACAGCGACGGCGGCCTGGCCGAGGCAGGAGCAGCCGTGCCCGATAGCTGGAGACTTTTGCATGAACGGTGGTACCTGCCTGTTTTTCGAGACCGTCGGTGAACCAGCATGCAGGTGAGCTCGCATCGATCGGTTTTGCTTCTGCATAATTGACCGTCGTCGCGTTTCGAACAAACAACGCGTGCCGTTACCCCGCTCCTTCGCTAAGCCCGCGATTTAATATTTCGTTAACGAACAACGAGAGGGACCGCCATTACCGGACACAATCCGGCGAATTATCGGATCTATCGACCCGTAAGAGGTAATCGCGGGTAAACGAGTCACGTCCCGACGTCCACGATGTTCCTCGCGTATCGGCCACCCGCCATCGAGAACGACACCCCGTTCGTTCGAAAATATTGAAACAAACGACTGCGAAACGCTTTTTCCGCGTACCTCTTACACCCCTGGCCCCGCAAGACGAGAAGCTACCAACCAGCCGAAATTGAGTTTCGCTTCTTGTTACCCTCTTTTCTATCCGACACCTACCGGCTCCGGGCTCAGCGGATGAGATTGGAAGAGGTCGGAGGTGGTTTCGCGGCATGTTTGTTGCCGATTTCGTGCAGCTCTCCAGACACGTCGAGTCTACTGACCTTTCGACCACTCGTGCTTCCACCTTCTCCTCTCCTCTCCGTTCTCGCTCCTCCAATCCCCGTCCAAGCTCTACTTCCTTCTCCGTCACTCCGACCACCCTCGCTTCTTCCCCATCCATTAAACAGAGCACCTTGCTCTCCGTTCTCTCCTATTCTATTCTCTCCGATTTTCCCGCAGCAACGGGGCTTCCGTCCTTTTTCCTCGTCGACCTTCTTCTTCGTCGCTACCCTCTCTCTCTCTCTCTCTCCGTTCCTCGCATCCGCTTCGACTGCAAGGGCGCAGGAGAGCTGTCCCCCTCCGGGAGCTGGCTGCGGACGTCCGCTAATCAAACAGTTTGTCCGTGGCGGGAATCAGAGGGGTCATCCGCGTCTGCGATTTCGGTTATTTACCGCTTAGAGCGCGCGTGCTCGGCGGTTTCCAGCGTCGGCTCGCGTGCGAATTTTACGACTCGGCGGGTACCTTTCTCTCCGAGGGCGATTCCGGGCGTCGATCGAACGGAGGGTAGGGTAGGGTGCGGAGAACCGCTCGATCCTGGGCTCACCCCTTGGGGCGAGGAAGAAAAAATGAAGGCAACACGGTTGGATCGTTTTTCATAAAAAATTCCTTTCAGCTGGGCGCGCAGTTTTCGCGTTCTAGCCCGCGCCCTTTACGCCCCCGTCGCAGAACTCGCGACCGCCTCGGCCGAAATTTCCTACGGTCCCTACTTGGCGCGATTTTATCGGTTCTTTGGAAAATTAAATTTCCCGGCCGATCGATCGCGCGTACGTTTAATTAAAAAAGTTCCACTGTGCCCCGATGATCGGTGATAACTTGGCGGAATTAGCCGGCGCGCTTGAGCAATCGCGAAGGAACACGCTGTAACCGCTTACGTTCGCGCGATTCTTTCTCTCGCCTCGTCTCGTATTACTTCTGTTCGTGTTAAAAATCACCGGGAAGGAGCGAGAGGGGGGCACAGGGAGAAACGAGAGAGAGAGAGAAGGTCCGTGGAAAAAGTTGGCCAATATCAAAGCAAACACTCGCCGGGGCAACATTTCCCTCGATTCTGGCAAACACTCGACTCGTTAATTTCGACGAAACGAGGGGAAACGCGCGAGACGAGGCTGTGTACTTGCTTCTGCGAACCTATACGCGTCGGTATTATTCCAGCGACGCGCGGCCAACTTTCCGCCGTTTCCTCCGCGTTCCCGCGTCTTTCGTTACGCGGCGGGAAAAGCCGCGAGCGGACGCGCGCGCGTCTTCCACCAGAGACAACTGCGTCTGGCGAGGCTGCGAAAGAAGCAGAAGAAGGAGAAAAAGGCGGAAAAGGGAGCGAGGAAAAATCGCCACTCCGACGACAATGGTCCTTTTGTCGGTGCGCTTTGACGTTGATTAGCCGCTCGTTAAATAAATTCGGTGGACGAGCTGATCCGCGAATAAAAGTGACCCTGCCGAGAAAGCCGGGAAAAGAGCGAGTCGCGTGGAAAGAGGGCGAAGAGCAAAGGGAAACACTGTGGTCTATGGACGGCTCCCAACGAACACCGCACTGCCATCGGTTGACGAGGGTTTATTGGCTTTATCGAGGAATCAGGTCGTCCCCGGAGGAACACCGGCCGAGGGAAAAAAGGAAGGACCGACGGAAAGAATGGACAATGGACAAATGAGCGTACGTCGGGCATTGTCTACTCGCATGCGACCAACTAGGACACAAACAGAACGTACGTGTACGTATTCTATTATTCGTGCGACGATGGAGAACGAGTCGCGTCGCCGAAGAGGAGTAAATTCTATAAAGGCGAACCTCGCTATCGGCGATCAGCGTCGCTGAATCGCGCCTGCGTTTCCCGGCAGATCGTCGTCGTCGAGTGGAATTCGCTGGTACCGATACCCCGGTGTCTCGACCCGAACGCTACTTACGCGCTAATAAATCGGCACACGGTGCCGCGAAGCTGGATCCTTCTTGCCAATAGTCAGCCCCCTGGCTGCAGCCATGGCTTATTCCTTTTGGCTCTTCGGGATAAATCACGGCTCGTATCTCGGGAATCCTCGATTTATGGATTTCCAGCGACTCGTCTTTTCGCGGAATAAATTCTCCCTCGCGACCGTGATCCCGATAAACTCGCTATAACCCCGGTCGAAATCGTCGTTGGGGAAAGGTGGCGCCAGAGGGCGAGTGTCGAAGAGGCAGGTACGCGCGTTTCCTCCCGAAGAGCGACAGCCGACCCCCCCGCGTATCCACGGGATCGTCTGGATCGACGATCGTTCCGGAAACAGGTCGCGGGGGATGCGCGGGGTCGATGGCCCAGTTTAAAGGGTCGTACCGCAAAATTCCGGCGCGTAGAACCGACGCGAATCGGTGTCGCGAATCGAGCATCTAGTTTATCGCAGCTGGGTCCCATCGCGGCATCCCTCCGCCCCTTCCAATCACCGGCGATCCCTTTTGCAGCCAGCCTCGCGGCACTTCACCAAAATACACGGCAAATGCAAAGCTTTCGCGCTCACCCGGCTCGGGGAGGATGCTCGTAAATCTCGCTGCTCGAGACACTTCATCCCGCACCCTCGATCCATTCAATTCCCGTCTCCACCTGTGCAACCTGTGATTCCAGCCGAGGCATTTGCCACGGAAGAGACTCGGATATTCGGATATCGAAAGACGCGGAAAACGGAGTGCTTTCTTTCTCCTACGACGTACTTTGATTTATTCCGAGGCGAGGCGCGGTTTCGACTTTGCCATCCTCTCCTCCTTCCTTCCCGGCTCGGGCTCGAGACAAAGGCGAACGCGCGCGCGGATGGTTTCTTCGGCCGAGCGAATTGCTGCCCCGCGACCACGACCGCGACCGGTTCGAGCGTAAGCGAGAGATAAACGAGCGCGTGGAAGATTCGTGACGAGAGAAATACGCCCGCGGCGCGCGTGTGCCGATCGCGCACGCTATCATCCGGTATCGTCATCTCGCCTGTACCTACGCGTCGATGTAACATTTGCGTTGGAACGCGTCGGCGGCGGAGAGGAAATTCGACGCCACGGGATCACCGACGATAATTCGACAGAGGCGAAAAGCTGACGCGCGACGATGACGCCGTTCGCGGCAGATAAGGTAGATAAAAAGCGGCACATTAAAGCGGAACGACCGGGCCGTTCCGCCCTGTCTGGCAGGAGCTGCTAGCCCGGAAGGAAGGAAGGACGCGAAGAAGGAGCGAGAAGAGCGCGGAAAAAAGAAGAATAAAGCACCCTCTAATATCCAGTGCTTCGCGCTGCCGACCTCTCGTGCCGGCTTTTTTCTTCGCCAAGCCGTTTCCGTATAACCCTGGCCCATATACGCGAACTGACGCCCGCGCCGCGCGGATCTCACCCTGCATACGCACAAAAGCTGCAGCACAAAGCGGTCCGACGTGCAGCTGCCGCCATCCGCGTGTGTACCACCCGCTCTACTCGCCACGACACTCTCCGGATACCAACTCTTCCTTTTTAGATGCTCATTATTTTAACGGAAGGCGCGCAGCTTTTATATGAAAATGTAGGCTCATCCCCTCTGCCCGCCCACCTTTCGCGCCGGGATCTTCGATACGCTTCCGTACGTACGTTCGTACGTGCGTTCGAGCAATATCCGCGTTTGCCGATTGTTCCAGCCAGCGGGAATAACGACGTCGACGTTTCGCGGAATAGATCCGGAACGAATTTCATCGGCGGTATCGAGCGGATCGGTGCGTTTGTTCCACCGAGATTCGCGGGGATATCGCTTACCCTTTGAGTCGCCATGTGCGTGTAATCACGCGGGAAGCGCGAGTCGCGACGACGAAGGGAGGAGTGGCCGTGAGGGAAAATAAAGCTCGATACGACCGATTTGTCTAGCTGCCGTATTGTACCAGACGGGACAAAAGTACGGGCCGACTAAAAGCAACGGCTGGAAGGTTAAAATAATGGATGGACACGTTTTGCGAGGCGCATAACGCGCGCATTTTCGGCGTTTTACTTGGCCCACATTTTTCACCTACCTACCAGCCGGGGAAAAAGTGTGTTGTCGTATGTAATACGACGCTTTTAGTTTGCATTACGTTAACGCAACGGTTTATAACGCGTCCCTTGTCATCTCGCTGTTTGTCTCCGCGTTTTTCCACGGAACACGCGCAACTTTGGACGAGCGGCTCGTCGGATGGAACGCGGCGGAAGTTTAAAAAGGAGAAAAGGAAAAATACGAACTCGGCTGGCGAGAGAAGGGGGGAGGGAAAGGAAGAATGAAAATCGACGGCAAAATGGTGGACACCTTTGCGCGTGCCGGTGGACGTCTTAATAAAACTCGAAATCCAGCTTAGCGTCGAGAGGAAAATAGCATACCTATACATTTAAATTGAAGTTTTCGTTTGAATTTCATGTAGGCGTTAAATTAAAACCGATGAAAGCTGCTGCGGCTTCTGCTACCGGTTCCCGCTTTTCGTTTCCCTTTGCCGCGGATTCCGGTTCGCGCTCGTTGAAAAGGTTCGTTAATAAAGACGATGAAAATTACGGG